AAAAGTCATAACGCATTTTTGCAATGAAAAACAGAAAAAATACGTCATGACTTTTCCAACAACCCAATAATATGATTTGACTCTATTTTGAAATGATAATACTTGAAACATATGACATTAAATGTAACATATCATTAAAATAATTTCAACTCTTTCTTTTTACTTATTTTAATGTGGCTACTAGAAAATTCAAAATTTCACATGTGGCTCACATCATGTTTCCATTAGAAAACACTGCTCTACAATAAATTCAGTCACACCATCCTTTGAAAAAGGAGGAAATAATCAATCCCTCCCTAAATTGAGACATCTAAAATAAAGATACTTACAGTGCATTTACTAGTATCATCATCATCCTTTTCTTCATAGTAGAAGTAGACAAAAGGGATCCAGAGGAACACACAGAATAATATAACAGAATATAAGGCTGTGGAAAGAAATAATAAACTGAGTTCTAATACACATGAACTTAATAACTGTTGTATGTATATTTATGAACTATATATATGTGTGTGTGTGTATATATATATATATATATATATAGTCACATACCAAATTCACTCCCTCATCTGATCCTTACTGATAACTCTATGTGTATATGTAATAACCAAATCAACCTTTGCTGACCTTTCCCAAGAAATCAGTAACACCATTAGATAACAAATCATAATTCAAGTAAACTATGTAATAATTTTTAACAATAATAATGATGATTAGGCCAATAACACTTGTGGTAGCTTACATCTGAGCTCTTACTATGTACTCAACAACACAGTGCTAACTACTTGTGAACCATGTATCTCATTTAAATTAACTTTAACTTTTATATTTCTTCCAACTTAAAATCTGAGTACAGTTGATACAACTATTACACTTGCCAGTAACTCAAGTTAAAGAAACCGCTACAATTACACTGTCCTTTTGATACAAATGATTTCCCAAATCTAAGATTAAATTTTGCAGTATTATGAAACAAGTCTTATACAAATCAAGATAGAGAAAAGGTAAACAGCAAAATAGTAAAATTAGATTCAAGTTAACTGATATGAATTATTATTTACCTGTTTTAAAATGTTAGATTTGAGATACTTTCAACCACTAGTAAATCAAAATATTTCTTTTAATTCATATGGAATTTAAAATTTGAACAGCCAAAGATAGAGTATATTTAACAATAAAAACAGCATAAACAACTTTTCGAAGAGATAAACCTAACTCAGAACTTGCTTTTCAAATCTTCTGTGTATTTAAATTTATCTGCATAATAAGTTCATGGAAATAATCGTAACAATATAATTATATAAAGCAATCACAGGATAATAGTCACCACACTCCTTTGTAAAGCATTTGTTAGCAATGTACAATAAAACCTCTATGACTTATTCTGTTGCAAGGAATGACTGCATGAATTATAGAACATTTAAACATGATCTTAATACTTCCTAGCACTACCTCATTTATCTGGAGGCCACTAATGATACAGCCCCCACTAAATGCAACATAGCTAAAAACCTCAGAGTAAACAGGGCCCTTAATAACGAACAGAAAGGTCAGAGTTAATTTATTCTGAGCAATTACAAAATGATTGTCAGCATACTCAATTTTGGCACTACAGATATTTAGTAAAATTTATGCAATCTTTAAATGTTATGAGAAACTAATAAAGACAGTAAATCATTAAGGGTAATGAATATTGGTATTTCTACTACAAACCAGGGAGTATTTAGTACTAACGTGTCTATTACAAATCTAAGAGCCAGTGGAAATAAACATATTCAAAACAGTAAACAAAATAAGTATTCTAAAAGCTTTTAAAAATCAAACATAAAAAGGACAGGATTATAAATCAGCCTAAATACCACAACACTATTATGATTTAAATAATCAAATAATTTATATAAAACAGGAAAAACCCTGAATTATCATAACAAAGTTCAGGGGGCTGATAGCCACATGCCAAAAACTTTGATAAATGAACAGATGCAGTAAAGTTTGGGTTCAGTCTCAGTATGCTGCTCTGGTCTACTACCTTTATACACCACCTTGGCCTTTATACCAGGGGTGCCAAAAAAATGTATACACATGACTTGTATTCATCTTTTGTTATCAGTATATATTGAGTATTACAATTTTAATAGAGGTTTTTTTTTCCTTTCTTAAAATATGTATACATTTTTTTGGCACCCTCTGCATAGCCAAAGAGCCTAATGACTATTTCATAAACATTCCTAGTATTCCTGAACTAGTGATAAATGATCTTATAACTATATAAGTTACCATCATATTCAATTAGCATAACAAGCTATCAAATTAATTCCGATAACTCAGTAAAATACAAATAACTTCTTTAACAAAAGGCTAACAGATACTTCACCATAGAACATAAAACAAAATGGCCAATAAACACATTTTAAAAGGTGCTCATTGTCATTAATCATCAGGAAGATGCAAACTAAGCCCACAATGAAATATTGAAGACCTATTAGAATGGCTAAAACTAAACTGGTAATACCAAATGTTGCCAAGAATGTAGAACAACTGACATTCCCACACTTTGCTGAAGGGACTATAAAATGGCACGACACTATAGAAAACTGTTTAGTAGTTTCCTACCAAGCTAAACATACACCTACCATATGACCCAACAATTCTACTCCTCTAGCACTGGAGTGCAGCAACATATGCAAAGCATTTCTGCCCAGAGAAGCCTGCCTGAGCTGTAGGGTCCAGGGCTTTTATTGGGGACTGCAATACAGGCACATATGCCTGAGTGACAAGCGATGATTACCAGAACTACAGACCTTGCCCAGAAGCAAAGTGAGTATTCACCATAGATCATGTTTTGCACAATCTAACCAAGCTGCTACAGCATGGTTCGTATTCACCCGTACCAAACCACCTTGTCAATTACTAACATAAGGAACATCCCAGGGGCTGGGTTCCCAGGAATTGGTCAAGGGTCAGCCATACAAGCAGGCTCTCCTGAAGATATGAGAGTTGAACATTGAGTTAACTGCATTAACACTTTCACAGCAATATTATTCACCGTGACAAACACTGGAAATGATCCAAATGTCCATCAACAGGTAAATGGATAAGCAAACTAAGTGTTACATTCATACAAAAGGCTTTTATACAAAAAAAAAGAAAAAGAATTTACTGATACATGAGATAAGAATGAGTCTTATAGACCTTATACTGAATAAAACAAGCCTAGACACCAGAATACATTTTCTATGACTGAATTTAAAGAAGTTCTAGAACTGGCCAAACTATTATGACACAAGTCAGAAGAACGGTTGGAGCAGCTGCTGACTGTAAAGAGACACAAGCATGTATGATAAGCATAATTCTCATATGTTGCTATTGGGCATATCCAGGAAAAGGCAGATTTTAGAAATCAACACCTAGAGGAAAGAGGTGGGGAACAGACACTATTCTGAAGAGACTCTATATTATCCCCTCAGCAGTCTGCACAAAACAGGTGCAGAACAACTGCTCTCAACCCTGCTCCCTGACGCCNAGCATTATTTGTCTCTCAGTCTAATGAAGTGTCTAAAAATGACCTTTTAAAAGGTAAATTCATGCTTCATATTAATTCTTGTTTATAAAGGAGTTAAGATAGTCTTCAGGGGGAAAAAACCTACAGTAAAGGTAAGGAGGATCTTAAGATCAACCAAAGTGCTAAAGAAGATGCATTTTAGAAAAGTGATAAAGCTTATACCTCATTCAGTTTTTAACATTAAAGTTGTAACCATCCACTTTACCTTAGATACCTTAGATTTTCAAATACATATAGAGTCACACAGTATCTGCAAATAATAATTTTTACATTCTTTATAATATTTAAACATCTTATGTTTTTCTCTAACAAATACTGATTGCCACTATGGGATCATTTAAAATATTGTTGATGTACTTGCTTCTGATCTTAATGCAAATGCTTTAAGGTTTTAATTAGAATGGTTAAGCATATGCTGGCTTTTGAGTCAATATATTTGTTTTTGTACTTAAATACAAAGTGTAAAACAAATTACCATAATTCAGTAAAAAGACAAAAGACATTTATTCTTTTAAAGCTGTTTTTTTCCCTTTAAATCAAAAATAAAATGTTCAATTTTGACAAATATCTTTCCACATACCAATTCTTCTTCGACCTATTAAATTACTATATATTAATAGATGTGCTGATTCTAAACCACTCATGCACTCTAGAAATAAGTCCAACTCGATTATTCTACATTAATGTATTTTTAAGATACCCCTGCATTCGATTTGCTAATATTTTAACTAATGTTTTTTATACCAATACTTACAGTAATACTGGTCTGCAGTTTCAGACATGCATATGTGCTGTATTTATCAGGTTTTTGTATCAGTGTTATGCTGGATTAGTAAGAGTAGTCTACAAGTGTTATTTTACGCCCTAGAACA